AAAATGACAGGAATGCAAAATTTACGGAAGTGTAACAATCGAAAAATCTTAGTTTTCTTGTGGTGAGTACTGAAAATAAATGTAGAAGGAAAGAAGAACATTAGGGAGAAAAGTAAGCAAAAATTTTAAGGGGAATTCGGCTGTCAGAAATACCAAGGTGTTTCGAAAAGTTGGATGCTTTTGAATATGCTTGCAGAATGCCTGAAGAAAAAGAGCAAGTCATTAAAAAGAAAAAAATAAATTTTTGCATAAAACTTAGTATTTTTTTTAATTTAAAACTTTTTAAAATTATGATATTTGATTCTTATGATATTCGATTTCAAAAATAAAATATTTGACTAAAACATGAATAACATTTTAAGAAACTAAATGTTGGATCATAAAATTATGTAATGCAATGAGCACAATGTTAAAGCTATTTAAAGCAATAAATGCAAGGTCATCCTAACTTAAAATGTCGGTTATACATCTTTCTTATTTACACTCATGTCCATAAATTAAGGATAATGCAAAATCATGTAAAGGAAGAGTTAGAAGCAAACCAAATTTGACTTATTTGTAAAGCTTATTTATTAAACCAAAAGGTAAAGAGCAAAAAAAGATGCTATATGTTTGATATTATTAAAAAAATTAGCGATTTTTTTCTCCCTGGAGCAAATTACAAAAAAAAAAAAAAAAAAAAAAACCTTTTACAAAAAACCAATATTACATGGTTGGTATGATGTTAATACATTGTATGTCTCCCAGACGATGCAATACGGTCCGTACAACGCCTAGGCATGCTGAATATCAAATTATCGTTCTGATCTTGGGGGATATTACATCACTCAAAAAGTAATGCTCTCCGAAGTTCCGGTAGACATGTAGGTGGAGGTTGACGGACTGCAACTCGTCGGCCAAGCATGTCCCACACGTGTTCTACTGGATTCAAGTCCGGTGAGAATGATGGCCAGTCCAAACAGATGATATCCTCCGATTGAAGGCATTCGCTTACGATGTTTTCACGGTGAGGACGAGCGTTGTCATCCATAAACACAAATTGTGCGCCCTTGGCGCCACGAAACAAACGTACATGTTATTCCAGAATGATGTCCCGATAGATTGGGCTTGTCATGGTTCCAATTTGAACATGCAGGTCAGTTCTGGAACCCAGAATAATTTCCACCCCAAACGAGCACTCCTGCACCACCGTAACGGTTGTCGTTCAATGATGTTTTCTTGGTGGTACCAGGTCCCTGGAGCTCTCCATATGAAAGTCCGGCGAGAATCAGACTGCAAGCTAAACCTGGACTCGTCGGAAAACATCACACAAGCCCACTGTTGCGGTGTCCACAATGCATGCTCTCTACTCCAGGCTAACCGCAGGCGACAGTGAGTTGCAGTAAGTGGAACGCATCTGACAGGTCTACGAGCATATAGACCAATCTGCCCTAAGCGTCTGTACACGGTCTGCCTTGAAATTGTCGTACCAGTGGCTGAAGAGAGCTGACGAGACAGGTCTGAGGCTGTGCTCCGCCTGTTTCTTTTGGCCAGTAACTCCTCATTCGGCGTTTGTAACTCTGGGGCGACCTGTGCTGTAACGTCTACTCACATTACCATCATCTTGGAATCGTTGCCAAAGCCTGGAGATGACACTCTGGGCAATTCCAAGTTTGTCTGATACTTCCAGTTGAGTACGCCACATTCCAGACGGCCGATAATTCTACCACGTAAAAAATCATCCAATGCGTCCTTTGTGTCATAACTATTCGGTTATTGCACTGAAATGCTTACAAAGAGCCTGCGAACAATTTTACTTCTTTGCCTGTATTCCTTATATATCACTCTCTTACACTCTCGTCATTGTGACGTACCATCGGTGTCATCTGGTTACTTCCTGATATTTGCTTATGATTCTTGAAGATGTGTGTAGTGATTTTGCAGGTGATATATTTATTTTAGAGTTCGATTTCCGCGTGAGTCCGAATTAGCCTTAATTTTTGGACATGAGTGTATATATCTTTTCTGAACGGAACATTGAGAGGCGTGTTAAATGTGCTTTACTGTATTTTCTCTTTTAATATATTCAGTTTTCAGATGCATCGTAGTCTTGGACACAAAGTATTCTTCCGAAAGAAACGCAATTCAAATAGATAAAATCAAATCCTGGAAAATTTATATTAATAAATATATTTAAAACGCTCAGTCTAAATGAATAAATAGAAAATTTAAAGAGACAATATAACACAAACAATTAAAATAAAAGTCTAAAAATTTAAAAATTACCTTGTAAGGATCTTAAGTTTTACTAACGTTTATTTTATTTTAAATCTTTACTATCACTTCTTATTTTCTACTTCCGGCCAGAATTAAAAGTGTTAACTTATTTATGCAAAATTTGTCTGGCGAACGCCAAGTACTTAAGTTGTGGCTTTTTGCCAAGCGAGAGAGAGGAAGGAGTTAGTCGAAGCAGGCCTCTTGCCTCAGAAGTTTTACTCGGTTGCTGTTTGCCTTCCAGGCCAGAGGTTTAATCCTCGTGATAATTTTAAACCGTATTGTAGTGTTAACAGTTTCTCTGTACTACATACGGCTTCCTGTTAATATCCGGCCAATCTTACACGTAGGCCCTTGTTGATTATTCCAAATTTAAGTTAGAGTTTAGTTATATTTTTATGTTCTTACGTTCAGACCACAAGTAGTTGGTCTCTGTATTCCGAAGTAAGGAAATTATTGTAAAGAGTGAAAAATAAAGGGTTTCGTATAACCTTCCTGTGTATCTTGTCTACTTTCCACAGTTATTGAACATAGCTTTAGTAAGCTCCCTGTTCCGAGTCAGGTCTGTGCATGTTCCCAAAGAAAGTAAGGCGGAACATTGAACCTGATAACCTAAAATAATAACTGACTAAATAACTGACTAAAATAATAACTGTTTATAAAAAAATTATAAAGAAAACTAATTGAAACAAATTAAAGCATGCACCTTATATTTAAGCTACGCAGCTCGAATTGGAAAATAGATGTTTTTAAAACAGTTATTCGAAAGAAACCATGCAACTTGAACAATTAAAATGAATTCGAAAAAGGAAAAAAAAAATATTTAAAATAATAACATAAAAATATAATATAAAGAACATTATTTGAAAGAAAGAACGTTGTGATTTTTTTCCCTCTCACGGGAAAGGAAAACAGGTTGCCATATATGAAGAAGTTGAACCAAGTGAACTGTTCTTGGCGCAACCTGAAAAAAAGCGCCAACATAAATTTGTGAATTTCTCCGTAAATTACGCACCAAATTTTACAAAATTTCATATTTAGGCATAATTTGAGTCGTAGAATTAAAATATGGAAAATAATGGGTATGTTATTTCAGAAAAAGTCCGATTTTGTGTCAAAATACCTATTTTAGAGGCCCACCAGCGGCCGAGTGGTAAAGACGCTGAACACTGGTAGTTCGGTCTGAGGTTCGAATCCCGCGAACGGGCTGGCTGCATGGGCGTTTTCGTGGTTTTCCCCATGTGTAACGTGGTACGAGCCAGTTTCCCTTAGAAAGTCCTCCACGAAAGGCATCCCTCCCTTTAGGCAGATAGCCCTCGTGTGCTTTGCCATAATTAAATACACCACACCACCACCTATTTTAGAACAATGTTATATATGAATCTAATACATATCCTAAGTCGCGCTTTCGAGATATGAAAAACTCAAGTTTTATTTTACCAATCGGCCCAGTTAGAACGGGAGATATATGTCTTTTTTTCCCCTTTAACCCTATACGTTTTTATTTAACAGAAATTCTCTGCATTAGAGTAAGCTAACCGTTTGTTGTTAATTTTTTGGATAGAAATTATTTCACTTTTACAGGCATTTTCAAAATTCTGTTGTGTCATGGAGAGACACACATACGTTTGGAACGTTTATAAATTAATACAAAATAAAAAAAAACATAGATATGTATGAAAATATAGACAGTGGAAAGAAGAGTGCAATACTGTTATCAAAGAAATACTTTTAAGTTCGTTTCAGCTAGTGCCCAGGAGGGATATTAATTTCATTTTGGCATTTTTCGTTGATTCACTATAAATGGCGTTTCCCTTTTCAAATTGTTTCCCACAAATGTGGCCCTGCATTATATTTAAAGAAATTAAATAATGAAGAATCTGGATGAATATATATATGTTTCTCGCACTGTGAAAAAATAACGGTGTCTAGAGACATTAAATTTTGAATAACGTAGTCCTCCAGTCATATATCGGCATCTGGAAGCCCAAATTTGAAATCTGGAATTTCTTCTATTATCTGTTTCATATTTTGTAAACCTTTAACGAATTTTTGATTAACTAAACGATTCCAAAGCGAGCAATGGCAACACTGTACGGAAAACAAATCATTTTTATCTCCAGCTCGTGAGACTGTCTATCGTAAATTTTACAGATATGCTCCTTTTAAATTATTTTGCGATATTGCTGCTGAATTGAATTTTATGGTTTAAGGGCAAAAAAACATGATATTTAATAGATAAAGGTAATACACAAAACGTTACAAAAAAACGCCCCTTTGGGCATAATATAAAATCTTTAACTTTTCAGGCTTTTGTTCATTCTTCTATTTATTTTTGTTCTTCTATTGAATCCTATTTGTTCCACACTTTATTATTAAATTGTATTAAGCATACCTTGCCCCTGCGAGGTTTCAAGCACTAAACAATTTTATTTCTCAAACTGTTCTTCAGGTACGGTAATGCTTTTATAAATGCGGTTATATTATAGCTCGATTTTGTGGTTAAATAATTGTTATTTTTTCTCGCCACCAAATGACAATTGTCCTATTTATGGACTTAAATTTTTTGTAACTTTATTGTATTGTACTTTATAAATAAATGTAGAATAGTATTTTAATAAGGCAAATGTTCATTATTTTATATTTTCTTCTCTAAAATTTGGTGTATTTCAACAAGGTACGTTCAAAACGCCTCGTAAAATGGGATGCCACATATTATGGAAACTTTAAAATATTTTTCTATATAGGTGGATCTCATATGGATATCAACACAGATTGCCAATGGCATGGTTTATCTCTCATCTCAACATTTCGTTCACAGAGATTTGGCGACAAGAAATTGTCTAGTGGGGGACAACTTAAGCGTCAAAATATCTGACTTTGGAATGTCTCGGGATATATATACATCAGATTATTACAAAGTGAGTATTGGTTTTACTAATATCCCATTAGTTATACTTTCCTTCGATTTGTTAAAGAGAGTATATTATTTCTGGTTAAAATCTTCCTAATTAATACCGTTAAATTGCAGTAACTCTTAAAAAAAATCCATTTTGCCAACATAAACATGAAGTAAAATTTTATTTATTCATAGAAAGCTTGTGTTTTAGCGTAAGAACTCTTAATTCAGATATGATGGTCACAGGCGTTAACAATGCAGTTTAAAGCGCAACACGAGGGGAAAGTATCGTCATATAAATCATCCTGAGAGAAAAGAAAGCAAGGTGAAAACATTACAATTCTAAAACATGATGGTAAGAAACTTCGTCTTAGAAAATAAAGCGTATAAAAAAGTTAGCAGTCTTAAAACAGCGTCATACAAAATATTGTGGGGAAAATTAAAGCACCAATAAATCATTCTACGATAGGAACATTGCAGCAAACGTGATTTTAGACTTTAAGAGTTTTAAATGCAGGTTTGCATTTATGTTAGTATTTGTGGATCGCAAAAACAAATGAGGAATATTTTTGTCTCCATGTTTCGTATCTTTTGATTAACTAATAAATTTTACTGTAAAAGCAAGAAGAAAACATAAGAAAGCAAAATATGAAAATCAGTAGAAATTGTTACCAACTTTAACAGTAACAACTTATGTATAACTTAAATCTTTAAACTTATATGGCTAAGACTTAAAAGTCTACATTTAATTAACTTTTTTTTCTATTAGAAGTTTTCCATGAAAAATATTGTTTTGAAAATGTTGGAAGAGGAAGATGAGTAACTGCATGAAGTTACCTATATTAAAATTGGTTAGTTTATTATTAGATTATAAAATTATTGTTTTTCACCTCTATTAGTCTGCTATTCCTTCAGTAAATATTTTATTTTGTTTAATTTTATTCATCTTTTAATGTGTCATTAAATTATATAGGGTGTAATTAATCATTTTCACATTTTGAATGCTGAAGCTTCCTTCTTACATTTTTCGTAAATTTTATTCGTTAATTCAGAAATATGAAATACAAAAACAAAAATATTTGTCATTTATTCTTGGCTCACAAATGATTATAAAACCATGCATTTAAAATTTTTGTAATTTGAATGATAATCTGAATCTGAATGATAATGAATGATAAATTTTTGTAATCTGAATAATCATAGCGTCATGATAAAATCGCATGACTGAGATTTTATCATGACGCTATGATTTATACGTGCTTTACTTTTTACCACGACAATATTTAAAAACTACAAAGTTTTTGAACCGCTTCGTTTTCTTCCACGATTTTTATAACACAATGTTTTTTAGACTGCAATATTTTCCTGTTTTCTTTCCTCCTACGATATTTTTTCCTTCCGTTGTGTTTTCCTAGGCATTTTTGTTCGCGATGTTTTTGGCAGAGACCATGAGTTATTTGGAAATTATTCAAATACCATTTACAATCTGAAACTGAATAATTTTACAAATAGTACAGAAATTTCTCTACTGTTTGTAAACCGCATTTTTAAACTGCAGATCATAAACCGTATTTGAAGAATTTCCAGATGCCTCATGGTGTCTTCCGAAATCATCGCGAATGAAACATCTGAGAAAAAACAACTCAAGGATAAAATACCGTAGGAGGAACGAAAGCAAGAAGAAAACAAGATCGTAGTTCTAAATGGTATAAAAATCTTCGACGAAAACGAAACGATTCAAAAGCTTTGCAGCTTTTAAACATCATTGTACAAATTGTCGTGGTAAAAAATAAAGTACCTAAAAATGATAGCGTGATGATAAAACATCGCCGACATGTGTTTTTAGACTACAGGAATTTTAAATGCATTGTCTTATGATAATTTATGAGCCAAGGATAAATGATAAATGTTTTGTAAAAGTAAACCTGTGAACTACCCATCTGTCTTGTAATAAGCAGAATGAAAAAGAGAATGTAAGCAATTTTATTGATATTCCTTTAATCAAAGAATGTTTTTAATGTACTATTTTTTATAGTACAAGATGTTTTAAGGAATTAAATACGAAAACGATAGCAGAAACTTTTGCCTATAACAACAATACCTAAATAAAATCCTGAGTAGGAGGAGACTGTGCAGAAAAAACGTTATGTGAGCATTAAATATGAGAAACAATAAGGCGATTTTTTAAATAAGTGATCTGCGATTTAACATGAAGGAAAAGCCAACAAAGAAACATTTCCTATAAGAAGTTATACTGAAATTTTATAAATTTTATATCATTAATATATCAAGGAAGGAGAGGAGAAAACTCAAGATTTCAAATCTGGAAGTGATTGTAACAACCAGATCAATAAAATCATAGCTAATAAGATATTTGTTAAATAATGTCCAAAGGCGAAAATCCTCACACAATGTTCATATAAGTTCTAGTTATTTTAGAATTAAATTTGTTAAGTTTAACAAAGATTAATAAGGTGCATAAATAACAAAATTCTTAAAATTGTATCCTGTTATAAAACAATTGTGCAATCAAAACGAAAACTGCATATAATTGGATTACTGAGTCATATATTGTCTTTCATCACGAGCAATATTTTATCTAATGTGCATATTGATATCTGTGAATATTTTTATACCATTTTTGAGCTGCAGGCGTTAATTTCTTTCGTAGCTCGATATTTCAGAAAAAATCTGATCCCAGTTTTGGCACTACGAGAAAGTGGAAATATTTCATTGGTTTCTTTCGTGCCAAATTTTAATAATTTAGTAATATACTAAAGGGAAAGATGTTTGTAATCTTTTTTCCTCTCTCTGCTGTATTTAGTATTTGTTTTTAACAAATTGCTCTTGTTTAGGAGCTCATTTATTAAAGAGCCCTTGCCATTGACAGAGGTTTCCCTCTTTTAGTTATTGATCACGATTTTAAAACTTTTCCTCTTAGCATAATAAACGACATTTTCATGTGCAAAACAACGCCAGTAACGTAACTGTTCGTCTCTCCTCCTTCATTTCTTTAAATTTACGTGGATTCTTTAAAGTTTCATCTTTCATGTCATTTATATTTTTAATTAGTGAAATTCGTGTTTACAGTCTTTAAAGATTTTTTATAGGAGATGAAATCCTATCCGTTTCTAAATTTTGAATAAAAGAGCAGAAATGTGACTTCTAAAGAAGAGACATGGCCAACTCTCGCATCGCTTTTCATATCCAATCGCATTTACCATTTAAACTCTCCTTCTGCTACACAAGAAATGCTTCAAAACCTTTCGTATTTATCATAATCTCTCATTTTTGTCCATATATTTAACGAATAAGTAATTTAGTAACTTTTAATGTATTTCTCCCACCTTCATGGCATGCCTTCGTGGTGTAGTGTTCTGCACGCTGGGTGCGTATTCCAGAGGTCCGTGGTTCGATTCCCGGCGAAGGCGTTGCTCATTTTTCATTTTGTCTGCTACCTACCTAATGTAACTACAACTTTAACTTCTTAATGTCTCTGAAAGGTCTTTAAAAATTGTTGTTAACGTCTTTAAGAGCTGTCGCTAAGAATTAGAATGTAAACGAATATGAAAGAAATACCTTATATAAAAACATGTCGCAAGTGTTTTAGTTATATATTTATAAGAAATAATAGGTACTTCTTACATATTTGTAAGTCCAGCAATAGGATATACATTATCAGTTATATTACTGTTCTGCTCCTGGTGGAGAATTCTCGAAACAAGAGATCCAGAAGGTGATTAATCAATAGAAATCTAGAAGTGCGCCAACTATAAATGGAATCACACCCGCCATCGCGGAATGTATGTTTGATTTTTATTCTTATTTTTATGGTTCTTTTATACAATAAATGTTTTAAATATCATATTTTTCCTAAATGTTGGAAGATTGGGGATTGATCCCTATTCCGAAAGAAGATGGAAAATGTAGATCAATTTGTTTGTTAAAGTTCCTGTCAAAGATTTTATATAAATTTTGTACTAAAGACTTTGCCATTAAGTACTGACATCAGACATTTTGTCAAGGAGCCAATATGGATTTGTATCGGACCGCTCCGCTAATGATACATTATTTGACTTTGTAAATTACATTTGAGAAAAGAAAAAATTGTTTTATGTGGCAGCTGTCGCCTTTGATATTAAAAAGCTTTTGACTCAATGAATTGAAATATACTTTTAAAAGTTTTATTAAAATTAAAGGTACCTATTGATATATTTAAATTTTTACAAAACTATTTCGGATAATGAAAGATATCGTTTTCCATAGAAGATAAGGCAGGTGATAAATTATATGAAGTGAAGAGAGGTTGCTCTCAGGGATCATGCAGCGCTCCGCTGCTGTGGAATATTGTTATTCACGAATTATTCAGTCAATTACTGACCCGACCACGTATAAATATTTTGCTATGCTGACGACTTAATGCTTGTTGTGTTAGAATGCTCGCTGAAGATGCTGGAGAAAAAAAAATTAAAGTTGCTTTACGTATAATTGATAGCTGGAGAGAAGAACAGAGATTAAAATTCAACTTTAAGAAGATCTAGGGTCTATTTTCCCAAGAGAGGGAAAGCATAAGGAAACCTCGTCTCTTTTACAACAAAAACAAAATTGAACTAATTAAAGATTTGAAATTCTTGTATATATATATTTCGGTAATGCATTTACTTTTGTTAAACATTTTACAAGAAGAGCTTCCCTGATGAGATTCTGGATCACAAGAGAACCACATTACGAAAGGTTTTTAATAATGTGATTTTACAAATCATATTCTACGGTATTGGTGCTTGGGGAACTATATCGGAAGTGCAGCGGATTACGTAGAACAAAATTAGATTTCATCGAAAAAAGCAGGCTGTTTTAGAACTGTTCCAGCAGAGAAGGCGTACGTATTAGCCGGCATTCCGCCCCTCTCACTAAAATACGATTTTTACTACAAAGTGTTTTCAGTAACGGCTGGCAGACTTGATATACACATGATAGAGGACTATATCATTGCTAGTTACTCTTTTGAACTCCTAAATGTGA